GTAACAACATCGGGCCATTCGTGAGGGCATCTTAAGCCATCGTATGACCGCCGGTGGAGTTTCTCAGGCTCCGGCAGCAACTTCGTGAGCGGTGGCAAAATCTTTGGCATGCCAAAAAATTGCCGAAGGTTCATTGTCGTGTTGAATTTGTGTCCATTTTGCCCTTCGTAAGGCACTCGTGAGGGCATCTTGTCAAATTGTGTCATCTTCGTCTGATCATCGGTGCCATCGGGCATTTTTCGCCTCACAAAGACAATACGAAGGAAACAAGAAGCTGCCCGGTTATTTTAGGAAGGCAACACGACTATGTGAAGCCCTCGCAATGCCGTCGTGTAGCCAGCGTATTATAGTACAATGACATCAAGATTGCATTTAATGCACAACAAAATCATGTAAACATATTATGTAAATAACCCAATTTGTGTTCTGTGAAACTGAAAAGTATATTACATAGTTTTTGTTACTTTCGTTGCAGTTGTATGTCTTAAATGTAATTTAGGTTAACTTCCTGTTTTATTTAGATGCTTTGTATTTTGAAGGCAAGTTTACGCTTTTGACAGGTAAATGTTGTTGCTATGGAAACAACATGACAGAGATAAGTAATATATTCTAATCTACATATAAAGACGGAGAAAGTAAAGAATAAAGTATATGTTTAAATGTTAGCACCCCCCAAGGAGGCACAAGCTCTTATGTTGAGTCTGGATACATTCTAAATCATCAGTAAAGCCTACGACCATATTTTTGTGTGTGGTTCGGGTGCCATCGTGTGGCCTTCTGTAGGCATCGTACTTGCTTTGGCTGTTGCTTGGCTGTTGACCAAGTTCGGGGCCATCTTTGTGCGAAATTCACAATTCCATATTCGTGTGTCCATCTGGTGTCAATTTCGGGACAGTGTGGCAGGCTTTAGAGAAGACCAGGAAATGAAGGATACACGAATCGTGTTAAAATCAATAGGCACGCAATGACTCTAAATAATAATGATCACGCCACCAAACACAGATTAAAATTAAAGTAACAAATCTGTTATGAAAATGTAAGAAGTAGAAAGTACAGGTCTTTGAGTTAAAAATGTAAAAAGTCAAAGTAAAAAGTCGTCAGATAACAAAAAACACCAAACAAGTAATTAAATAAAATAAATCTAATGTTTGCGGTTGTTTTTTACATAGTACAATTTTTACAGCTTATTTAACGATATGCACCATTTGTCTTTACTCACTTACCTATCATTGCAAATAAATAACACTGCAAAAGTGCCTTGTAGTCACATCATTTGAATAGCTTATGCACTTTTGCAGTGTTATTTATTTGCAATGATAGGTAAGTGAGTAAAGACAAATGGTGCATATCGTTAAATAAGCTGTAAAAAATGTATTATGTAAATGCCAGTAGGCTAATTGTACCATTATTTTACCATTATTGTATCAGCAATCTGTACTTGCTGTCATAATTTAGGAAGTAGGTCTACAACCTAAGAGGGTGAAATTAACTCATAACAGCTCATTATTTCTGGTTGAACAATTTTACCTGAACGCATCATCAGTCAGGCCAGGTTGGGCACCAATAACGTGCTGCACGCGGGCGAGGTGCCCCTTTTCCTCTCCACCCTGAGCCCTTACAAAGTCTACGAACGCCAACGACCTGGAAGTGAGCAAACATTTGCTTTGAATTGCACTTCATAAATAGTTTGTAACACGTATAAAAACATGCAAATCAAAACTAAGTGATGCTTCTTTAATCAAAAATGTCACTTTCATTTGAATAACCTCCCTCCTCACAGCGGTCAGAAATCCGCTATGGCAACAGGAGGAAAAACGTCAAGAAAAAAGGAAAAGATTTGACAACATGGCGCACTTTCCTGAGAAAAGTTTCTCCTGAAGGCAACACAGCTAAGTCTTCGTAGATTTTCCACGGAGTTTGGCGACTATAACGTGGACTTTTCGGCTAACTTTCCAACAGCACCTTGAACCAAATAAAAAGACCAGAAGGAGTGTGATGGGATGAGAGCGATAACCCGTGGCACAAACCAAAGCAGTCAGACAGGATGGAGCAGCAAGCGACTCTGAAAGAAAAGGTAAATAGACAAAAAACAACTACTTTCTACACTGTCATGCAAGCTGCCATATGTGTAGTTGTTGGCATTTTGGTGTCCCCCCCCTGAATAACACTTTTGTTACCTCGCGTTCTGGACAGGAAATGCCAAATGACCATTCCTGCGAAAAGCTCGTAAAAGCCCTCTATCGATTTTCCAGTCATGCAAACTGTGCTGGACTGCACAGAGGATGTGTGTGCTCTCCTGGCTCACACAATAGCTAACATTAATGTGATTCAAATGCAAATAGAAGATCATACACATTACAAAATAGGCTCTAAACCTAAATCATACTTCTTTTGTTTCGCATGAACAAAGTGGCTTGCACAGTGGCAGTTCATTTGTGTGCACAACCACGATTACATCCACATTATTCCCCAACAAAAAGTAAATGTTTGCATTACAGACTGTGTTTTTTCTATGGAGAGTTGACTTAATCTCTGTCTCCTCGTGATTAGGTTGGCAGGGTGTCCTCTGTGTTGGTGTAGGCTCTCATTATCACTCCCTCTCCACCCTTCCTGCCCACATACAGTAGGCAGCCCAATGAAACACATGAGACAGCACTCACCGTGGACCTTCCTGTAAAATCTCTGATCAGTTCACTCCTCTCTGGTCTAGTGTACAGTGTTTATCTGAAAGGAAAACCTGCATGCTCTTCGGGCCCCTGGGAGAACGAATCAATAATAGATGCTTCTCCTGACATTGCTTTGGAAACAAGTCTTTGAAGTTCATCATGCGTGACAGTGCTGTCAGTTGTGCTGTGGACGTCACTCCTTCAGCCTGTTTGTGTATTTCTGAGAGGTGGGTTGCTAAGCTCTCCACAGGATTTACAGCAACAAACCCAGCAGCTAACACTTGTTTTAAGACCTCCTTGCACAAATCCCACTGTTTTACATCATGTTGTTGTAGCTTAATGGATTTTTTAACAATGTGAAGGTGCTACATTGGCTTTAAAAGGTACACTATATTGTGTTTCTTAAAAACGGCATACCAATTCTTCAGTTTGTTTTAGCTTTTGATCATTGTCTTACTTTATATAATCTATTTTGGCCCTATACTTGCCTCGCATGCTCTGTAATCACCTAAACACACACTTTTAAATAGATACATGGAGATACAATATAAAGCACTCGAGACTTTAGTTTTTACTCTAGAAAAATATAGCAGGGAGTTGGTTGTTTTGCAAAAAAGAAACAGAAAAAGGTGGAAGGTCAAAAGGTGCAAGAAAGCTACTGATTGCCTGGTACTGCCCTGTAACTTGATGTTGGACCTACTTAAGCCCTCATATTTGCTGCGTCTACTCCCCGGGCCTCTGGAAGTAATTACCCAGCCTGCCATATCCCAGAATTCAGTCCGAGGAGGAGTGGTGAGAAAGCGGTATAAAGGACGGCCCTAAAAACATGCAACCCTGAGATGAATTTCCTGATTCAGTAATACTCACAAACCTTTCCGATAAATGGATACATCAATCATCTATTTAATCAATTACACTATATTGGTTAAATTAAGCTACAGCAAGACTTGCACAAATTGGTCTTACATTCAAATGGTTTGCCTTTTGGTTTGTTCAGGAGAGTAATACATTGCATATACATTTTTACAATTATAGATTCAATCCCACATTATTGCCAATGGCCTTGCTCTAAGGCAGGTTTAAGGCTTAATCTTATTGTGGTAGGAAATTTAGCAGTGCACTGAAGATGTCTTTATAAGGTTGAACTTAACACTATTGTTGTGTGTTTAAACTTAGGTGAACGGCTGCGAACATCAGAATAGTTATGGGCTTTGTTTTAAACTGACATGATGTGAAAGATCAAACTGTCTTTGCCAAAGGCATTCCCTATTTTTAACCTGGGTGGGTCTGTTCTTCATAAACAAAGGTGAGTTAACCTTATTTGGACTTCAGGACTGAAACCAATATCCCATGTGCTGTACAGATGTGGCGGTCTCTCAGCGGTCAAAACACGGAGCAAAATCAGGAATCTCACTAAAGACACACACAGACCTAGCTGGCAGAACAATTGACATTATTTTGGAAATCGAGTTTTTAATTTAAGGTTAAGTCAAAATACACCCTCAAAGATAAACTGATTAGTTAGTCTAAATAAGATATTTTTTTACTGCAGAATATGTGGACTTCAGGTCAGTCTCAGTGTGCTTTTCTGTAAGGTCTCTTTGATTTGAGCTAAATTAAAGTCTATAGAGACTTAACCCTCACACAGTTATACTAGGCCAAAATATATGAATCATATCCTCTCTGTTTTTTGTTTTCTTCACAGCAGACAGTGATGTTCACTTTACATAACAGGAAAACCACAGTTGGAACAAATAACACTAACAACAGTTTAGTTAGGTCAGTTTCCCAGAGAGCAATAACACTGTTGGCATGCACAATACAAGGGTCCTTTAGCTGGCTAAACTGCATCAAACTAATGGTTTGTTTTGCTATTCCAAGTGTCAAAAGTTCTGTTCAGCACATTATCACACTCAACACTACAGTGCTTGTTTTCATTGCTTTTGTGGGAAAAGATGAGTCAGTTTGGCAAATATGCTTTCTCACACACTCTTTTGGAAACATGCTGAGTCATATCACACATTGAAACACTATACAGCATATTCGATTCTGTATACCAGCCACAAAAAAAATACATTTACAGCTGAAACACATTAAAGTTCCCATGACATGGCCATTTCTACTGATCATAATTCCATTGTTGAGGTATACTAGAATAGATTTACATTGTTCAATGTTCGAAAATCACATTGTTTTCTCATACAGAATCTCTGTATAGTATGGGTATTCACTCTCTGTCCTAAACGGCTTGTTGGAGCTCCTGCCCCCCCTCCCTATGAGCCCACTGTGCTCTGATTGGTCAGCTCGCCCACTATGTTCTGATGAGTCCACCACCGTTAAAGCGGAACATCAGTGTTTATGTGTTACAATGGCATTTGTTAGCAACCAGAAAATGACACCAGTAATGACAAACAGATGAAAATGCTGCGTGGGGTCTGGGTGCCATGTTGGCGGGACGTTGCGGGGCTCGCTGCTCCGCCCTTTGAGGATCGAGGAGCGGACAGTGTGAGCTGAATTACTGGTGTCGTTTCCTGGTTGCTGCGTGGGGTCTGCGAGACAGCGAGACATCGCGGAACTCAGCCTGAGCACACACATACAGTACACTCACAGCCAGGCTGTTTGCCACATGGTTCGCCACACACTCATAGCCTGAGAAAAGATAAGGCTGAGTGAGTGTGCGAGGAGCTCCACGGATTGTTCAATATGCGGAGCCGCTACGTCGCTATGCCCGTTTACGTCACTTTACTCAGGAAGAAAAAAATGGAAAAATAAAAATCTCCAACGAAGCGTTCTGGGGCAGCATAGACAGGTCTTTTCTGTGTTAGAGTTTTATTCGCTACAGGGTGTACTTTGAGGGTTTTTGACTCTGCAGACCATTTACATAAAAAGCTACATAACACACAAGGGGACGGGTAATAACCGGAAAAGGATGTCATCAATAATCTTATCTTGTGTGTTCTATACCTTACCCATTTTCCCCTCCTATTGCCAAGATATGTATTTGAATTGTATTACTCAACTTTTAAGAACTGTTATTTGTTTAAGTGCATTCCCGTCGGATAAGTTTCACAACATTTTTGAATTTGACTGATTACAGCTCTGTCAATCCCCTCTGTGTATTCCTTCAGTTTTCCATATTCGGTTCTCGGACAGCGGGCAGACCTATCCGATGTGTTTCTGGAGACGACGGGGCCAGGTGTGGGCTCAGCAAAGCAGAGTTCATGGAGAAAGTGCAGCAGAGCAATGAGGCGTGTCAGCGGGGTGACTTTCAGGCGGCCATCCATTTGTACACCAACGCCTTGCAGGCTGACCCACAGAACTGCATCCTGTTCAGTAACCGCTCAGCAGCCCGTCTCAAACTGGGACAGCACCAGGCGGCACTGGAGGACGCTGAAAAAGCCTGCGAGCTCAATCCCAAGTGGCCCAAGGTAAGTTTGCCTCAAGCACTTTATCTATGGAAACACTAAAGGACAGTAAAAACATGAGGAAACAGTCCTGAGGTTTTCACCCTGTACATCATATACATTTTATCTTCTTAAACTGAGATTATTGGTTTTCATAAGTGCACCCGTTGTGTGTCATTGCCAACAATTCTTCCTTTCGTCAAATCTAATTTATGGGCTCTGATGTCCATACAATTTCCAATTTAAACTTTAATTATCAGGATTTAGCTGCATAGATTTAAATGGGGAGAAGTGTGAAGTACGTTTGATCAAACATTTAGCTGAAAAAGGAACAAGTAATATAAACTAGTACTATAGTTATCTTGTTGTTGTTTTAATCACTTTTTGATCACACATTTTAGATGATTTACAAGTTTGTAAGTGTTTCCAATTCCACTCACATCTTCACTCCTCAGTTGCATTCTCTCTGCTGATCAATACAAAGTTTTCTGGGGTCTTGTCTTTGATCTTGTCCAGGCCATGTGGACTAACCTGCGATAGATTTCACATTAATCAGCCGCAGAGATCACTCGGAGACCAATTCCTCTCGGTGATAGAAACGCATTGATTTCACAATTTAGCATGGAGAGATACTTTTGTCTTTGGAGAGAGAGATTGATGATAATGTGGTAGAGTGGTATTGATGATAATTTGTCGCTACCAATGATGAATCAGCGGCCACCTCTTCTTTGATCTGAGGTCGTGTATCTTCAGCTGCTCAGGTAGGTTTCCTCTTCAGTAAAAATGTGGCGCTGCAGTGGGAACTGTCACCTTTTATTACGTAGATAATGTTGTGTACTTGCTGCATTGTGAAAAAGTAAATAGACCTACATACATTTAGTCCTTCTAGCAGTTCTCCATACTTTTGTTGGAATGATTACACAGCTATTGACCAGCTGTTGTTTTAGAAGCTTTTTAGTACTCTACTGTTTCTATATCGTTTTATTTCAACCAATTTTACAACAATAGTCTCTCCTGCATGTTTCCACATCTCCCTCTCCCTCCATCTGTAGCATCTGAACATTAGTAAATGTCGTTTATTCTGGAACAATTTCATAACCCTCTGAAGCCAGCAAGGCCAAAATATAATTGAAAATAACTGCCAAAATCATTCTCCTCTTTATATGCTATCCAAGTACAATGAAGCTCTTTGTGGTCCGGCTGGTGGGGGGGATGGTTGGCTTAATCTAGGCAGTGTAGCTCTGCTGATTCCTGGATTTACTCCCTGACAGCTCTAACTCTCATGCTGACGTTTGTGTTAGCAGACTAGCTGCAGATGTATAGCCTGATCTTTGTGTTTTACTATGTTACATGAGGAAAAAGGATTATTATGTCTGTGGTATTGACAATTATACTGGTGTGCATGTTTTGAAGTTTCCTGAATCACCACTAGGGGTCAGTGTTGTCCAACTGGAGGGATTTTAAGGGTTTTGTGTGTGCAGGACAAAAAGGCATTGAGGTATTTTAATATCCAATATGCTTTTTATATGCAGTGGGTTGAAGGCCATGTTTATCATGACTGGCTTTCATACAAATATAGAAATGTGCTTAAAAATATATCAAAGCAGCCGCAATGGAGGCCATTTTTCTACTTGATTAATCTGCGGGTGGAGGCAAAGCCAAGGTCACAACCACTCCATCTTTCATTTTCTTATCTGATATGTCAGGGAAAAAAAAGACCTTCTCTGGTCCTATAAGAGTCAGATAATTTGATATCATTGCCCTATAGTAGATCATATATGAACATATATAATCAATACACATGAATGTATTGCAACTCCTGTATTCAGTTAGTGCTACCTCAAATAATTGATTAGTTATGGTGGTCTTGACACTTATGGCGTTGGCCTCGAGGAAATAGAGATTTGGGGTTGTAGAAGTCCATCTGCTACGCCTGGATGTTTGATGAAGGAAAAGGGATTAAATCACAGGAGTGTGCTGGCATTCAGATCCTGTGTGAGTACATAATATCATCAATCATGCCCGGCTATGACTGCACTTCTGCATTGGCCCCGTCAAACCGTGACAGGCGTGGTTTTGCTGCCCCAAGCACCAGCGAGCAGCCCACCCTCCTGAAGCCCACAGCAGCCTGTGAAGGAGCCCCCTGTCTAATCTGTCAGCTTTGCTTGCTGTAAGTGCCAGAAAACACATTCTGAGAGAAGAAAGAAAATGTGTGGTTTAATGACCCAGGACAGCTTTAGGCCCTTTGTATCTCACCCTCTTACTGAATATAAAACGCTTAAATGAGAACAAAATAGGGTGTCATTTCATAGACAAGGTGTGTGTCACATTTATTCCCTACGAGCTAGTGTGTGAATAATCTAGCTGCTTTTCCTGTGCATGATTCATTTATTGTATGATGACACTGCAGCAAACTTCCAGTATCACTTTAGGATGGAAAGCGTCTTTTAGCTTTTGCTGCCAGTGAGTATTTTGTGATTCTGTATTGCACCCTAGTTGTTTTTTAGGCGTGTACCAGTGACTGAGAGGACAATACCCACTCTAGATGGATTCACTGTCTATTCTGCTCCTCCATCTGGTCCCTCCCTCTCAACACGGCTGTTCCGGTGACATGGTAAACAAACAGCCTTTTCTGCTATCACTGCCATTCTCATGTGTGAGGCTGACAGGAGAGTTCCCAGGGAACCAGAAGACAAGTGGCACTGCATTGTCTGGGGAAACATCTCTATCATTTGCATATCTTCTGATTATAGGTTATGATGGTCGAGGGTATTCTGTCTCCTCAAGTGTTTATCTCCAGTTTTCACGACACCTTTCAAGCCTTGTATCCCAGATGAGGCTTTTTTTTACCTGAGTTCATGTGCACACATTTTTCTTTTTCTCCAACATTAAAATGGCCATTTACATCCCATTGGAAGGGCCTTGGGTTTAACTGAGACAATGAGTGTTTGCATTGGAAAAGGTCATTGTGTGTGGAGTGCTGAAAGGGGACTTTAATTACAGCAGCAGCATATCCAGTAATTGTGTAAGGAGTGGTACTGACAGCCTGATAAAGCATAAAGCTTCTCTTTCCTGCAGTGCTGGGTGATGACATTAGCTTTTTGCTGGTAATGTACAAGGAAAGGAAGACAAAGAGTTGTGTGATTTGACGGCCTCATCCTTTGCCACTCTCAGCGGCGCTCTGCTTTTTATGTGGATGAAAACCACTGGGGTGTAATGCTCCCCTGTTGGTATGACAGTCCGTTAAACCAGCTCCCATCTGATCTCAGTGTGTGTAAAGCATAAAGAAGCTGTCTTTTGATCTCATGTGGAGAGTGGTTATAACTCTTGTACCTTTCTTTTTGCTTTCATCCGCACCATCTGAGATATTCACAACATCTTGGTGACCTGTGCTTTTATTTTGATACATGCTGAATACTAAAAGGAAAACCTCCAGTGAGGAACAGCAGGTGGGCATAAATATGTGTTTTTGTGCTTGTAGATCAGAGAACATGTATTAGGTGACCTTTTTGTTGTAATGCACTATGATAAGTTATCCATGAATCATTCATGAGAATTCAGTGTACAACTTAAATCTGTCATCCATCCTGCTGAGGTAAACCAGCCCTGACTTTTCCTTTCGCAACATAATTGCGTCAGAATTTTTAATTAGCTACATTTTGCAAGAATTTAAATCAGAAATCAAACAACATTCTAAACAGACTCAGCGGTGACTTGTTTTTATCAAGAATATAGAAAGCATCATACTTGTTTAACACCATCATGTTAACATTATTTTCTAAATGTTTAAAGCATGGTGGCGTTAGCATGTAGTTCTAAGCACCAATTTGCCTCAGTACACATTAACTGATATATATCATAGATATGAACTTATAGACTTTTTAGGGCAAAACATTTAAAGGGGCCCTAGAATGCTCCGTTTCAGGTTCCTATTTGTATTTTGTGCCTCTTCTGTGACATGTTAACATTCTTAAATGTTCAAAAGGGGCTTTATTTTCTCATCCTTTCTGTGCTGCAGCACCTCTTTTCACCCTCTGTCTGAAACCAGAGCCCAGTCTGCTCTGATTGGTTAGCTGGCCGGCTCTGTTGTGATTGGTCAAATGCTTAGAAATGTACCTTAGCATATCATAGTGTTGTGTACTTCCTGCATTGTGAAAAAGTAAATAGACCTACCATTTAGTCCTTCTAGCAGTTCTCCATACTTTTGTTGTTATGATGTTAGTGATGTCACTATGTTACGGAAGTTAACACAGAGTCCAATGGAGGCGTTTCAAGGAGGCGGGGGAGTGTGTGGGAGAGGATTTTAGCCTTTGTAGAGCATTGCCATGCACAAAAACCAATGTAACACACTACAGGAAAGAGAAAACCCCCAAAGCATAATATAGCCTCTTTAAACTATGTGTTCTTTTAGATTCAGTTCTATTTGAAAAATGTCCATCTATTTTTTGACATGTTATTTATCACAATTACCCCAAAATGGAAATGTAGACTAAATGTAACTCTGGCTATATATTGGGGCCAACATATGTAACCATGAATATTAATAATATCCCTTGATGCATATTCATGATTAACAATTGACATCAACCTGCATACCTGTATTATGAAACACATGGTGATAAAATATGAATGCCTTTAGCTTATCATGCGAATACTGATGCAGGGAATGATGTAAAGAGGATGTTGCTCACCATGCAGCATCTCCAATCAGATGTGTTGCTTCTCGCCTTCTCATGCTTTAAATGACTGGGTTAAAGTGGAAAATGGGGCAATGGAGGTAATCTCCAAGTGCACATCCTTCTCCAGATCCTCCATTTCATTTCATTTCATTGTTTATTTAGCAGGGACAATGCACATTAATGAACACTTAAAACAAAAAATGCAAATAGTGTAAATGTGCCGGATTTTAGCTTGGAGCTAATTTCCATCCGTAGTACCTCACATAAAACATTTAAGAACATGACAATTATACACATAGCAAAAACAAATACATGATATGCAAAAAGAGCAAGAGCAGCACACAC